GGGCACGCTGAAGCTGTTCTCCTCCAGGTACTCCACGGTCAGCTGAGCCCCGCTCGGCCGCAGCAGCACCTCGTCGGCGCTGGGGAGGGGGACGGGGGTCAGAGACACCCACCAGGGGTGAGGGACACCCCCCCAGGAGGGACTGACACCCACCAGGGGTGAGGGACACCCACCGGGAGGGACTGACACCCATCAGGGGTGAGAGACACCCACCGGGAGGGACTGACACCCACCGGGAGGGACTGACACCCATCAGGGGTGAGAGACACCCACCAGGGGTGAGAGACACCCCCCAGGAGGGACTGACACCCACCAGGAGGGACTGACACCCACCAGGGGTGAGAGACCCCACCCAGGGGTGACTGACACCCGGCAGGGGTGAGAGACCCCCACCAGGGGTGAGAGACACCCGGCAGGGGGGAGCGACACCCACCGGGGCTGAGAGACCCCACCCAGGGGTGACTGACACCCTCCAGGGGTGAGAGACACCCACCAGGAGGGAGCAACACCCACCAGGGGTGAGAGACACCCACCGGGAGGGAGCGGCACCCACCGGGGGTGAGAGACCCCCACCAGGGGTGAGAGACCCCCCCCAGGAGGGACTGACACCCACCGGGAGGGACTGACACCCACCAGGGGTCAGAGACACCCCCCAGGGGTCAGAGACCCCCACCAGGGGTCAGAGACACCCCCCAGGGGTCAGAGACACCCACCAGGGGTCAGAGACCACCCCCAGGGGTGAGAGACCCCCACCAGGGGTGAGGGACCCCCACCAGGGGTGACTGACACCCTCCAGGGGTGAGAGACCCCCACCAGGGGTGAGAGACCCCCACCGGGAGGGACTGACACCCACCGGGGGTGAGAGACACCCGGCAGGGGTGAGAGACCACCCCCAGGGGTGACTGACACCCATCAGGGGTGAGAGACCCCCACCAGGACGGACTGACACCCACCCGGGGTGAGAGACCCCCACCAGGGGTGAGAGACACCCCCCAGGAGGGACTGACACCCACCGGGAGGGACTGACACCCACCCGGGGTGAGCAGCACCCCCCAGGAGTGACCAGCACCTCATAGGAGTGACCAGTGCTCTCCAAACAGTGACCAGCACCCCAAAGGGTGACCAGCACCCCCTGAGTGAGCAGTGCACCCCCAGAGTGACCAGTGCACCCACAGGAGTGACCAGTGTACCCCCAGATTGACCAGTGCACCCCAAACAGTGACCAGCACCCCCCGAGTGAGCAGTGCACCCCACAGAGTGACCAGTGCATCCCTGGTGTGACTAACACTCCTCCAGAGTGACCAGAGCTCCCACAGGAGTGACCAGCACCCCCCCAGGAGTGACCAGCACTCCACAAGAGTGACCAGTGCTCCCACAGAGTGACCAGTGCACCCCCAGAGTGACCAGTATCACCCCACAGAGTGACCAGTATCACCCCCCAGAGTGACCAGTGCACCCCCAGAGTGACCAGTGCACCCATAGGAGTGACCAGCACCCCCTCAGAGTGACCAGTATCACCCCAGAATGACCAGCACCCCACAGCAGTGACCATCANGGGCACGCTGAAGCTGTTCTCCTCCAGGTACTCCACGGTCAGCTGAGCCCCGCTCGGCCGCAGCAGCACCTCGTCGGCGCTGGGGAGGGGGACGGCGCTCAGAGACCCCCACCAGGGGTGAGGGACACCCGGCAGGGGTGAGGGACACCCGGCAGGGGTGACTGACACCCATCAGGGGTGAGAGACACCCACCGGGAGGGACTGACACCCACCAGGGGTGAGAGACCCCCCCAGGGGTGAGAGACCCCCACCAGGGGTGACTGACACCCACCAGGGGTGACTGACACCCACCAGGGGTCAGAGACACCCACCAGGGGTCAGAGACCACCCCAGGGGGGACTGACACCCACCAGGAGGGAGCGACACCCATCAGGGGTGAGAGACCCCCCCCAGGAGGGAGCAACACCCACCCATGGTGAGCAGCACCCCCCAGGAGTGACCAGCACCTCATAGGAGTGACCAGTGCTCCCCAAAGAGTGACCAGTGCTCCCCAAAGAGTGACCAGCACCCCCCCAGTGAGCAGTGTACCCACAGGAGTGACCAGTGCACCCCCAGAGTGACCAGTATCACCCCCAGAGTGACCAGCACCTTCCCAGAGTGACCAGCACCTCTCTGGCGTGACTAACATCTCCCCAGAGTGACCAGTGCACCCACAGAATGACCAGCACCCCCACAGGAGTGACCAGTGCACCCCAAAGAGTGACCAGTGCATCCCTGGTGTGACTAACACTCCCCCAGAGTGACCAGTGCACCCCCAGAGTGACCAGTGCACCCCCAGGAGTGACCAGCACTCCACAAGAGTGACCAGTGCACCCCCAGAGTGACCAGTGCACCCCCAGGAGTGACCAGCACTCCACAAGAGTGACCAGTGCACCCCCAGAGTGACCACTGCACCCACAGTGACCAGTATCACCCCACAGAGTGACCAGTGCACCCCCAGAGTGACCACTGCACCCACAGTGACCAGTATCACCCCACAGAGTGACCAGTGCACCCATAGGAGTGACCAGCACCCCCTCAGAGTGACCAGTATCACCCCAGAATGACCAGCACCCCACAGCAGTGACCATCANCAGAGTGACCAGTGCACCCATAGGAGTGACCAGCACCCCCTCAGAGTGACCAGTATCACCCCAGAATGACCAGCACCCCACAGCAGTGACCATCACCCGGAGTGACCATCGCTGGCCCTGACCCCTCACCTGGGGAAGGTGCGGCCCCGCAGCTCGCGGATGAATTGGGCGCTGCCGGTGCGGGCCGGGCGCCCGGGGTCCTGCTCGGGGGCCTTGGCGGGGCCACGGCGCCGCTTCACTGCGGGGACACAATCGGGGGGACAATTGGGGACACAA